CTTCTCAACCTAGCCAAACCTTTCGGCTTGCTCAGAACTCTAAGCTTGCTCAGCCTCAAAAGCCTCCTCACTAGTTTGCTCAACTTTTAAAAAATGAGTAGGCCTGAAGCTTACATAAGGGCTGGGACCTCCATGACATTGGAAGAGGAAAAAAATGAAGATGAGTCAAAAGATTTCTTAAACTTAGAAGATGAGCAAGAGCTAGACTCTGAGCTTAAATTATTGGAAAGCTAGGAAGAAGAAAGGTTTAGATTGTTTGATAAGGGAGATGAAGAATAAGAAGAGAGGTTAAACGGATAAGCCAAAATAACCACAGCTATTAGGAGTGAAAGGTTTTGAAGGTTGAAATTTCTTCCTACCAGAAGCTTGTCCGTCCTATAATAAACATTTTCCCCTTAGTACAAGCATTGTCTTCTACCTATTTTTAGCCCTATGCAGACATGTGATTTAACCAATAGATAGCTCGAAGATAATCCTTTACTACAATAATAGAAAAGACGTTGTCATTTGAAGGGAAATTATCTTGGTCGAGTTAACCTTTCTTTCATTTCTACCTTAAAGTTAGAGGATCTAAAATCAGATGATATAATGAAAAAAGTGAAAGATGTATAAAAAGTAGTTTTGAGAAGAAAGTCAAATGAAAGAAGGCTAAAAGATTTTGAGATCGGTAGAAATTAATCTGCTAAAGAGTAAAAAACTCTGGGTAAGGAGGAATTGGGGCCTAGAAAACTTTTATATAGCGAAGTCCTGGATCGAATAGACACCTTGGATTAAGCCACATCACCATACAGTTACTGATGATGACTTTTTGACTTTTTAACTTTTCAACCTAAATTCAAAGAATTGCCAAATTTTTTCTCTTATCAATAAATATAGATCAAATAAATATACAAAAAGGTCACATCGATTTTACTATACAAAACCCACTATATAAAATCCACAAATATCACATCGACTATATATGTAACATTATGTCAGATTTGCTATGATCTGATATAAAAAATCCACAAGTTTCATGTTAGCCACACATGTAATATCATGTTGGATATGCTATGCATATATTACAAACGTCACATCACTCTTACTATACAAGGACCTTATCACCACATCATCTTAAATCTAAACAATAACACCACCTTATCTACGTCGGCATAGCCTTATGACTAGCTCGATGATTTAAGGTTGACACAATCAGGAAAACACCTAGTCAACACGACGTCGTGAAAATTTTGAAATAAATTTACGCTCAACTTGTAGCTCGATTTTAAGAATAATAGGTCGACAAACCCTATTCTCGCTAGTTTAATAGCTTAGACTACTCGAAGGGGTACAAAATGTTTGGGCGATTTTAATGTACAAAGGGCAAAAAAACATTTCTCTCCAGAGTATAAGTCAATTGTCAAGCATGAGCAATTTGGTCATTTTGATTGAGCTTACATGTCGGGCTGACTTGAATTCCTAGGCTCCACATCAATTCGGCCACCTCAATTGACCACCAGCTAACACATAAGGATGCTGACTTATCACCTTGATTGGATTGTCAATTTACAAGCTCAACTCGAGCCTATGATGTCAGCCCTAACCCTTCACATCGAGCTCAGGTTGCCTAGGCCTAGTGTCCCTATCACATAAGTATAAGTATCACCCTTCAGATACTTATAAACTAATTGGAATTCTAGTTTACATACCTATTTTCTACCTTTTTCTCCTTCCCACTCCTTAACCAAGTATTAACTAGAGTTGGAGAATAAACACCAAAAAAAACTTTTGACCTTTGTCATTGATTGATCTCTCTCTTATGCTTTCAAGTTTTTACCCTCGCAAACAATTCGACACTAATAGTAAAAATTATAATTCTTTTCTTAATGTAATAATTATAATTAGAGTGAAAAGAAGATTTACTTAAAGACTTACAATGGCATTCTTACATCCACTATTATTTCTGGAAATGATATCTACATCAATGATAATGGTATGTAACGAATAAATTTTTTCCATAGAAAATGAGATTGTCAAATCTCGAGATCTTGAAAAGCATATTGGCCAATAAAAAAGTGACTAAGAGAATGTTGTTTAAGATGTCATTAATTTTATTAATTTTTTATTTTTATTTTTATTTTTATTTTTAAAAAAGTGTGATGATATGACATGCGAAAGAGTCAACAATCAAGTGGGCTACGCAAATGATTAAAGTCGTAATCAATTGAAATTTCATAAATCTTTTGATGGATTGAAATTTCGTAGTAATTATCATTAATGAAGAAAACCTGTCTTTATGAGCCTATCAAAGCAGTCAAAGTTGACAAAGTCCACATAATGCGCCACAAAATTAAAAATAAAAAACAAAAAACAAAAGCTAAGTCCACAGGAAATTTGCTTACTACTTAATTTGTTCTATCTTTCGAAGAATAATTTTTATTATTATTGAATAACGATATATAACTTTTTTTTGTCATTTCTGTTCAAGTGTTATGTTATAATGGTTGAATTTTAAGTTTCTTTTTAATTTTATATTCAATTAAATTCTTCCACTTTGCAATTAATTGATTTTAAATTAAATATTTAATATTATATTAGAGTTCAAGTTTTGTTTTGTAATTCTTATTTGTCACGTAATAAGAAGAGAACTTGTCAAAGTAATTCATTTTACATTTATTAATATTTAAATTTTTTATAATTTTATATTTAAGTTAGATTTTTTCATTTTATAATCAATTAATTTTAAATTAAATATTAAATAATTTTAATTATTTTCTATCTTTATTTTTTGAAAAAAAAAAAAAACGACTTGGGGCCTATTAGGTATACGTTTCTTCTATCATTCCATAGTTAATATGAGATTAAAAATAGAGAAAAAAAATGTATGAGAGTTTAGAATATATATATATATATATATGTTTGTATTTATTTAAGTGTTAAATTTTAGATGTGTATATAATTTAAAATCAATTAATAATAGAAAATGTGATTTTTATTATATTTATATTTTTAAGGTACTCTCATTTTCATTGCTGTAAATTTTCATTTTATGACCATCTTTTTAATGTTAAGAGGGGTACCTACTTTATTGTAAGCAATATTCTGTTATTGGAGATAAAACCAAAGGTATATTGATATTTATAAGTAATAGTATAGTATTTGTTAAGTCACATCAAAGAATGACTTGATGTTAAAAAATTCATATAAAAAGAATTTTTTTATGTAAGGTTTTAGAGTTACTATAGATGAAAAAGAAAAATTATAATATATATATTTAATATTTATAAGTGGATATTTCAATTAGTTGATTATTTTTTCGAAAAAATAGAATTTTTGAATTTAATAGGTTTCTTGTAAGGTGTAGTGCATGATCTTACATTCTTTATCTTAAACTATTAAGTATGATATATTTTACCCTAACTTGAAGGACTGAACAATTTATTTATCTTTAATTTTTTTTTTACAATATATATATATATATTTGATTTGTTACATTTTGTTTCTTATCAATTATGAATTATGTTAGAACCCAAAATACAATAAACCAAACATGTTTAAGATATTTGATTTGTTTTAAGAACTTTTTTTTTTATTTTTAAAAATTAATTATTACAAAACTTCAATTTTATCTAAAGTTTCAAAACTAAATCAAAACACCCCAATAAAATTTTGGCCATTACCAATGAATTAATATTCTCAGAATTGGTTTTCTTGTCCTCCTGGCGAGCTCCAATTTTGGTAGAGTTGGATTCTTAATTTTAGCTTTTCTTTTTATTAAATTTGTTTTTTTAAAGAGCTCTAGTGATTCGTGTAAGGTAATGCTATTTAATCCAAAAAAATAGGAGATAAAACAAAATGAGAAAATAATAGGATTATTATTCTGTAAACTAATAGAGAAAATTTTAAATTCTATAAATAAAATTAAAAGATTAATATGTGTTCATTTATTAAGTAATTCTTTAACATTTATAAATATATGGAATCAAAACATTTGTTAACCGTTTTATTTTAGTGGTAAATAAATAACAATATGGATAGTAAAAGTAAATTTTATGTTTGTATTTAAACTCATTTCTGATGGTAACTTTGTTCAGAGTATTCAACATTTGTTCGTCTGTAGTCTGTAGCTTTGGTTAGAGCTGAGGTGATAATAGTTGATGGTTTTAAAAGTTAGAGAATTGGGGAACGTAATATAAAAAAGCACAAAGACACAATTAGGGTTTATTTTTGTTAACTTCTTTTATTTTATGCCACTTGGTGAGTCTTTGACCCAAAAATAGAAAAGAAAAAGGCCCAATGGAGAAAATAATTGAAGGAAAAGAAAAGTAAAAAGATAAAAAAGAAAAACAGTTTTTTTAATATAACGGTTGACATGAAAAATGAAAAAGTAGAAACAAAAGCTAAAATTAATCTGAATAAAAAAATAATTGAGAATATAAACAAGAAATCTAATCCACCGCTTGAGTCCAACCTATCAAAGTTAGTGACTCAAACATCCACCAAATAGGTGGGGAGGAGGAGAAATGCACTTTTGTTGGATGTGGTTATTTTAAAAATTAATTTCAGTTGCTAAGTGTCTCCCTCTTGCATGGAAAGGCTAAATTAATAAAACTTAAGAATAAGATAAGATAAACTACATATTTGTAATTAATTTGTGAAAATAACAACTATATATTAAAGATCCAAAGCTACAACTACAGACAAAAAAACAAACAAACAAATTATTTGACCCTTCCTAAACCTTATAAATTTTAGTAATGTTTTAGTTTAAGACCTATCCAACAACAAGACATCAAATGAGTCAAGTGTAAAAAAATTTAAAAATCAAATAAAAGTGGTTTTAAATTAAAAAAAATTACAATATAAACGATACAAAATATTTAATCTTGTACAAGTTATAAAACCATTTTTATTGTTTATAAACTTTTTGTGACAATAATTATTTAATCAATAGACATTAATGTTATCTGTTTACGCATATGCAACATAAAAGTCATATAAAAAATAATAAAAACTTACTAATTTACTGATCAGTGATGCTAAATAAGAATTTAAAGTTGATCTAGTTATTTACCATCCATACTTTCTTTCAAACCCACTTAATCTTCTCCTTCGCTGAATCCAATTCGACTAATAAAATTCCAATCTTAATCATTGAAATTAAAATTTTAATAATTTAGCGTAACACACAATTTTTTTGTACAGTTCTTCCTTTTATGCTTCCTTTTCAAACCATTTCACAACCCAAATAAAATGGGGCCAAGCCCATTCATGACCAACTCTACAACCTTACCCTTGGCCGTTAGCTGTGTCTGCTCCTCCTAAGTAAGCCTAACCAGTCACTTGTTTCCAGGTCCTTTTAATGGCGGTTAAATGTCTCTTTCTCTAAGGACTTCCCCCAAAGCCACGACCTTCATCCGACAAAGTAACAACTCCCGGCTTTGGTACAGATTTTTCCATGGCCGACCAACTGCGGAGTTACTCTTTCTCAATCAGAAACCAAGACTACGAGAAAAGCGACGACGTGGAGGAGAGCAAGTGTGCTTTCCTTGTGGTAGCTTTCTTCCCTTGTTTGGTTTGCTTCATTCTTCTCCTTATTATAGTCTCCGTCGTGTTAGTAGTCAAATTCCATTTGTTTTGCCACACTCCTCTTCACTCCATTTACAAGAAAAATTGCTAGCCAATTCCATTTCTTTACCCGGAAACGTTTTAGATTTGAATCGTAGGGGTTTCTCTAGCGTCACTGACGGTGGTACAGATTCTGAAACAGACAATGAATCTGATAATGCTGCCGATGTCTTTAAGTCAACAGCGGACCTAAAGGAAGTTGAGAGAGTATGCAAGGTGATCGACGGATTGTTTGGCTTAGACCGAAACATGGAAGCTGTTTTAGATGAATGTGGGATTAATCTTACTCATGATTTGGTCATGGATGTGCTGGAACGGTTCCGACACGCTAGAAAACCGGCGTTTAGGTTTTTCTGTTGGGCCGGGCAAAAGCCAGGGTTTGACCATGATTCCAGGACATACAATAAAATGATGAATGTTTTAGCAAAGAATAGGCAATTTGAAACCATGTTGGCAATGCTTGAAGAGATGGGTGCCAAGGGGCTTGTGACAATGGATACTTTTGTGATTGCTATCAAAGCTTTTGCGGCTGCCAAGGAGAGGAAGAAAGCGGTTGGGATCTTTGAGTTGATGAAGAAGTATAACTATAAAGTGGGTGTTGATACTATTAATTGCTTGCTTGAGAGTCTTGGGAGGGTTAAGCTTGCAAAAGAAGCACAAGCGCTATTTGAGAAGTTGAGAGACAGGTTTACGCCCAATTTAAGATCACATACGATATTGCTTGGTGGTTGGTGCAGGGTGCGGAATTTGATGGAAGCAGGGAGGGTGTGGAATGAGATGATTGATAAGGGTTTTAAGCCTGATATTGTCGCACATAATGTAATGATTGAAGGGCTATTGAGGAGTAGGAGGACATTTGATGTGGTGAAGTTGTTTGAGGTCATGAAAAGTAGGGGGCCTTTGCCTAATGTTCGCAGCTATACAATTATGATTCGGGAGTTTTGCAAGCAAGGAAAGATGAATGAAGCAGTTCAATATTTTTATGAGATGCTTGATTCTGGATGTCAACCTGATGCAGCAGTTTACACATGTTTGATCACTGGTTTTGGAAACCTGAAAAGGATGGACATGGTTTATAGATTGTTGAAGGAGATGCAAGAAAAGGGTTGTCCACCTGATGGCCGAACCTACAATGCCCTGATTAAGTTGTTGACAAGTCAAGGAATGCGGGATGATGCAATTAGGGTATACAAGAAGATGATACAGAGTGGAATTCAACCAACAATTCACACTTTTAACATGATCATGAAATCATTCTTCCAGTCCAGAAACTATGACATGGGTTGTGCAATTTGGGATGAGATGCGTGAAAAGGGGATTTGCCCTGATGATATTTCGTACACTGTTTTCATTAGAGGGCTGATCAGTCTAGGTAGGTCAGGAGAGGCTTGTAAACTTCTAGAAGAAATGATAGAGAAAGGAATGAAGGCTCCTCTGCTTGATTACAACAAATTTGCAGCTGATTTCTCTAGAGCTGGGAAACCTGACATACTCGAGGAGTTGGCTCAAAAGATGAAGTTCTCTGGTAAGTTTGATGTATCTAATATCCTAACAAAATGGGCTGAGATAATGAAGAAAAGGGTTAAGAGAAAAGGTTCCTTTAAAACTGATGGAAGATGCATCTGACATGCTAATGAACTGTTTTACTCTGGTTTCATGTGGCTCATGGATCATATTCTTCTCACTTAACTTCATGTCACAAATGACTTTTTTTTTAAAGGCATTGTATATCGTTTGCGTTTGTTGCATCCTATGTTTCTAATGTTATTGTTTACCAATTGATTCCTCTTATGCTCTTCAATCCTATTCTTACTTGATGTGCAATGTATTTGATTGGTCCGAGCTTTGTTTTTTCATATTGGAGCGGACTGCTTAGGCTTAATACGATGCAAGCGAAACGATAGGGTGTTGTAATTTCTCCCTTAAAGCATGCAAATCCTTTTTTTTTCCCCTCATTTTGTTATGTATGTTAACATGTCACCATTCTCCACCCAATTAACCAGTTGTAAAATTTTATTATATTTAGCTTATGCTCCTCTTCAGCTTTGTAAGAACAAACTAAAATAACACTGCTAAAAGAAGTTGACAATAATACTAATGAAAAAGTGAAATAAAATAAACACAACATATATTTTCCTTGTAGTATAAACGCTCGAAGAAAATATATAAGCAATGAAAGATCAGAAATTGCTGTTTATTGCTGCTTCCTTTATTTTTAACTTGAGTGGCGATAAATGACTCGTTCAAGAGAATGTTGAGGTGTGTGTTAAAGGATTCACATATTTCTTTTTAATTTTTGAAAGGGATCTTTAGAAATGCTACGCTGTAAGATCCAAAGAAATTTGGTCTCCTTCCCAAGCCAATGTTTTGAGGGCGTCTAACATTTCATCAATCCTCGAGTGAGAAAAATCCCCTATTGTAAATTTTTCAAATTTTCCCTTTACTTGAACCAAACTAAAACCTGCTTCCTTCTTCAATCCGCTACCCTTCAACTTCTTTCTCGCCTCTGCAACACAATCCCACATCTCATCTGACGCATACAAATTTGACAATAGAACATAAGGTGAAGTGCTCACTGGTTGTAGTTTCAGAAGCTGTTTAGCTAAACGCTCCCCCATCACTACATCTCCATGCAGTCTGCATGCAGAAAGCAGACTCCCTAAAACAACTGGATCTTGTCCAAATGGAAATTTCCTCATGTAATCCTCTGCCTCGTTTAATCTCCCAGCTCGTCCCAACAAATCGATAAGACAAGAAAAATGCTCTATTTCAGGAGCAATACCGTAGGTTTCTTGCATAGAATTAAAAAGACGAAGGCCTTCATCCACCATACCAGCGTGATTGCAAGCCATCAGAAGGCCAACAAATGTCACAGAATCTGGCTCCAAACCACTTGCTCTCAGCTGCTCAAAAAGCTCCCGGACTCTGCTTCCAAGCCCATGATTTCCAAAAGCAGCAATAATGGTATTCCATGAGACAAGATTGTGGTGGGACATCCTGTTAAATACATTGTATGCGTATCCAATGGAACCGCATTTAGCATACATGTTTGTGAGGGCATTACCAACTCCCACATCTTGGTTCAGTCTTGTTCTTATCAGATGAGCGTGAATCTGCTTACCATAAAGTATGGAAGCAATCGCAGCACAGGCAGAAAGGGCGCTAGCAAAAGTGAAATCATCTGGTCTCATTTGATATTCATTAAACATCTCTCCACAAGCTCTCAAACTCTTTTCATGGCTTTCACAATGAGAACAAGCAGCTATGAAAGTGTTCCAAGAAATGACATCCTTTTCCTCGATTGATTTGAAGACCTTCTCTACCTCTTGCATCAAACAAAACTCTGAGTACATTGTCATAATCACATTACCTAAAAAAGCAGTAGAGTCAAGCCGAAGTTTGATTGTCTGGCAATGCAATACCATTCCTCTGTGTAAAGCATCTGAATCAGCACAACCCCTGAGTAATCCCACGAAAGTAAAGCGATCTGGCATCAGGCCTTCTTGATGCATACGTTTAAAAACTTCAAAACCCTTTTCATGTTGCTGGTTTTCTATGAATCCAGTAATTATAGCATTATAAGATACAACATTTGGTTCTAATGCCCTAGAATAGACTGACAACGCATCACTAGAATGACCGCATTTCATGTACATTGAGATAAGGGAGTTAGAAACAAATGAGACAGATGCGTATCCATACTTCACCGATTGAGCATGAATTTGCCGTCCTTCCCCTAACAACACAAGGTTGGCACAAGCAGTAATGGCACTAGAAAACAAGTACTCATTGGGTGCAAGGCGCATTTGGGAAAACAAATCAAGTGCTGATAAAGGCTCCCCAGCCTGGTCATAACCAGAGATCATGGCTGACCAAGAAACAAGGTTTTTTTCAGACATTTCATCAAATACCTGACGAGCAAAGTTAATCTTGCCACACTTCGCATACATGTTGAGGATATGGTTGGAGACTATGACATCAGCCTGTATACCAACCTTCAAGGCAGCAGTATGAAGTGAAAGGCCAGAACGAAATGCGTTGGTTTTGGAGCAGTGGTGCAAAAGTAAGCCAATAGTTTCAGGTACCATTTAATCTAACCACCAGATACGGCATGCACCAATGTCAAACTCAAGCATCTCCACTCCTTCAAAATCCTGTGCCAGGAACACCAGATTCCAAGAGGAAAATGGGACCTTGTTATGTTTAATAGTAGTATCAAAAGCAAAGTGGTTATAGTTTCTTAAAAGCAGTAAAATTCCCGTTTGCTACAACATCCTCTCCCCAGTGCACATGCTGAATTTTCTTTTTTTAATTTTGTTTGCTATTTTATAGACCTCCCCTCAAGATGAGAATGTTTTCATTTTCTATATACACTCATTTAATAATTATTATAAAATTATTTTTTTATATTAATAATATCAATACAATATAAATATTAATATTAATCATATACATTATTATTTTATTTTTTAATCTTTAATAGTTTTATTATTTTAAATTTGATATTAAAAATTAATATAGTTATATAATATAAATTCAAATTTAAATATATATACTAAATACATATTAAATGAGTATTATATTTTTTATTTTTTTAATATGTAAGTGCTTTTTTATATTATTAATATATAAAATTTATTAAATTATAAATGATAGATAGTTTGTTATTATTTGTTATTTTAGTCATATTTTTATATATATTCGTATTAGTCATGTTTATTCATGTACATTGTATTAATCGTATCTATTCGTATATATTTATATTATTCGTATTTATTTATGTTACGTTTAAACGAATTTATTATTCGTGTTAATTATCTCATATCGTGTGTAACGTATATATTAAATATATTATGTTTGTATTTAAAATTTAAACATATTTTATAATTTATATCATATTTATATTTTAATAATTTATATTATTATATGTATTAAATATGATACAAAATACAATATAAAAATACGAATTTTCAGGCCTATTTGCAAGTAAAGCCCACGGAGACTTGAGAGCGTAAAAAAAATGGTGGATCTAAAAGAAAGCAAAGGTGACCTGGCTAGGTTTGGTTTGCAAGAATACGAGTAGAATTGGGTTACCACCTAAGGGGAAATGAATTGGGCTGGGTTTAATTGTTTTTTCAGTAGATTGGCCCATTTAGTACACCATTTTGGTGTTAATTATGGAAAAATTTTTCTGAGGGTTAGCATATTTTATCATTATCTAACTCTGTTGCTTTTTGATTAAATCTCGTTTATGTTATTGAATTATCATTAAAAATTATTGTGTTAATGGACAAATAGTTTTTTAGAAAAAGTATAGATTCTAAAAATTAGAAAATTTGAGCAAACTCTAATCAGCTTATCAAAATAACAAATCCTAGAAGGAATGACATGAGATTAAAGAATCTATGTTAAAATCAAGACTACAGTAACTTCTTGCTGGTCAGGGCTTTGATAAATAAAGTTGGAGCGTAGGTGGATAGCAAATGAATGTGAAATTGGAAGGGAAAAAAAAGAAACGCGTCGATACTAATAATTTTGGTATCCAATCTTACACTAGTCTCTTTTTCCTGAAAATTAAGATGCTTCAAGGACGTGATGATAATCCCTGACACTCATCTAAAAAGGAGTAATAAAAGCAAGGAAAAAGATGGGGTTATTGAGGATGATTTTGGCTTCAAACAATCACCGGAAAAAGTCTATGACCTTTTATCACTTTTGACAACAACTTTTGTTGCCTTTTACCAGAAAGGTGGGCATGTCTTTTTCACCAATCCAACCAATTTGTCCTACTCATTTATATAGGAGAGAGGATCTAAATTGCATGACAGTAATAATGCAATCAACTCTTATTTCAAGGGAAACATTATTAGTTAATGGCCCAAAGCTCTTTTTAAATCTTTCATCCCCCACTAAATAATCATATGCTGCTTTGAAGACTAAGTAGGAGTAATTGAAAAAGTCTAGCTTTATTTCGGAGTGTTAGGTACAACTTTAAATTTTCATTGTCAATTAAGTGGATAAACAGTCATGCATGTTTCATGTCACAAAATCACTATACCACACTTGAACTACTTTCAATCTCAAATTTCAATATTGATTTTATATTGATTATTGCTTAACAAAAATTTTATGCAAAATTTGAATATATCCTTGATCATGTTAGAAAATCTCTTACCCTTTACATTTTCTTTAATCCAAAATTTACCACTAAATTTGAAAACCATCATTTCTCAGTATTTATAAAAAAAAAAAAGAAAAAAAAGTTTCAAGATCATTACTAACTCAAGTTTGATTTAACAATTATGAACATTAATAAGTTTTAATGTCATGGACTTGGTTCTATGAGTTACAATAGAAACCATTAACCATAGCCATAAATTCTTCATTAAATTCAAATTTATTAATTAACAAAAATTATATTTATTTCATTGAAATATTTTTTAAAAAAATTTCTATATGTGTGTGTGAATTGTGATTGAATAAACTTAGAAATACTGTTCATGGTTTTGGATGATGATAATAAGTTGCATTAGTTATTATTGAATCAATGATGAAGTTGATCTCTTTTGTAGGCATATGAACCACATGGGAGGATGGACAAATTGAACCAGCCTCTTAACACTCTTTCAAAGGAACTCTGAATAAAAACGATTAGCATCATGTTTAGATCCTTGTTGTTTTTTCTTTTCTAACTCTTTTTAACTAATAATTTATGTGGCTCATTGTGCAACCTTTTTTTTTTTTGCCAAACCTATGTGATTAAGTCTATTAAGGAAATAATTTTCTAACAAATAACAAAGAAGTAGTTTTATTAGATGACAGAGATTATAACATGAAGAAACATTTTAGATATATAATCTTATGATTTACATGTTAAATTTTAAATAAAAATGTTTGCGTGAATGAAAATGAGTAAGAGAAAAAATTAAGAAGACAATAACACAAAAAAATATATGGTTAAGCCATGATAGCTTACATGAGAGAAAGGTCCAAAACACCACATTGTTAATATTCTAATTTGTATAAAAAAATACGTTGATACCCTATATATTTATATATGTGGTGTAGATAACATATGAAAAATAATAATGATGAAAATTTTAAGATTATATATGATTATAATTGATTCTAAATATATTTTTTAAATTAATAATTAATTGCTGTCTAATTACCAAAATCATCTCATAATTGTCCTTAAAAAAATATGGAAAAGACTCTATAATATAACACACACTTATTTTTAACAAGTGAAAAAGAAAAAATAAAAAAAAAATTCTTGAGTGACAAAACCAAATGCAATCCGGTCCCCAAAAAAAAAAAAAAAAGGGCTTCTCGGAGAAATTAGATAAGTTAAGAATAAGTTAGTGTAATTTACTAGCTTTAAAGGAGGTCACGTGACAAATAAAATCATTCCAAAGCTTAAAAAAAAATAAAAAGAAATCTATGTTATGAAAATAAAATGTTGTGAAGGATAGAGAGTAGGATAAGCTTGGATTATGTTGAATCTAAGATGATAGGTTTAAGACTACAGGACCAGCCCATGCATATGAATATCTTAGGAGTAAATTGCATCACACATTCATGATGTTTATGCATTGTTTTATTTTTATTCAAAAATTTTTAAATTGAAATTTTAGATTTGCAATTTAAAAATATTTTAAATTCATTTATTTCGTCAATTATCATTAAAATAAAATAAAATTTATCACCTCAACATCAAGAAAGTATCCAAATGGCAAAATAAGATGGATCGGACCTACTAATTTTTGAGTTTGAATTTATGCTACTTAAATATTCATGTGATACTTACATAAATTTTTAAAAATAATTGACGAATGGATAGATTAAAAATATTTTTAAAAGCATATGAGTTTAATTAAAAATTGAGTTTTAAACTTAGTCATGAAAATAAAATATTACATAAAAATTGATTGATGCATTTTACTCCATATCTTGGATATATTTTCTTTACACAAATATTACGCTCGTGGGCTTATAAAAGTAGCATTAATATTTCTTCTTTCTCATTTGCTTTGGTCTATTTTTATTAAATGTTCTAAAATTATATCATCAGGAACAAAAAAAAAATTACTTTATCATTTTTTTATTTTCAACATCTAATGTTTTTATATTTTATATTTAAAATATAAATTTTTTATTTTTATATTAAAATTATAAAATATAATTTTAAGAAAAAAGAATTGAAAATTTAATCAGAATACATTAAAATTAATTTTCTTTTTTTTTTAATTTCTCTGAAAGTCAAAACGCTAAATAAAATGGGGGCGGCCGGTGTATATATGAGCAATTAAAACAAAAAAGAAAAGAAAAGAGAAATTGGCATAATGGGTTTCATGCAAATTGGAATCATTTTGGGGCAATGAAGTGATGTCACTCAGTCAGTCACATGTGTTGTAGAAGCAAACGACATGTATGGTGGGGCAGCCTCACATGCGCTTCGCCATCTAACTGTTTACAAATACTCCATTCTCCAAATCACAAATCTTTACTCTTTTTCATATAATTGTCAGTTTTTATACCTACCTATCAAACACCGTTTCAATTTAAAAAAAAAAAAAATCACATCTTCAGTTCAATTGAAATTTAGCATATAAAAAATTGAGTATTCAATAATATATATTTGTAACTCATTGATGAAAAGAGATGTATTTTTCTTGCCAATTAAAGTAAAGTTTTATTTTAAAAAATTTAAAGTAAAATTTTGAATGTAATATGTTAATTGAGACGGTGAGAAAATAAATTTTTAAGGTTGTCCAAATTGATGTTAGATTGGGATAGAATTTAAACATAATCCCTGACCGTATTATCAAAAATTATAAATGCCATGTTCCCGATACATGTGCAGGTGTGCACCTGAGTAAACCCCTGTCCCTTGCCTATATCTGTCCGTTGAATCTCTTGTAAGAAGTCAGGTAGAGTAAAGCCGCTCTAAAATTTATTAAAGTGAGTGTCATTTTTCTCCTTTATCTTCAATAATATTAGTCTCAAAAAAGTTGTTCTTCTCATGGCCGCTTCAATTTGATTGTGAGAAACATGATAACTCGGCTTTTTCTCTTAAAAAATAAAAATCTAATTAATAGTTATTTATGGAAAATGATGTTTAAATTCTAGGGTTAAATACACATTTTGTCTTTGCACTTTATTACGTTTCTCAATTTAGTACTTAAAAAATAAAAATTTACAATTAAGTATTTAAATTTCATTTTCATAAAATAAATTATCTCAAAGACTAACATCATTAACAAAAAAAAATCATACATGGCTTCTTCAGCCAATAAAAAATCACCAACTCACATGGAAAGCCA